GTGCGCACGCGTCGCCCTTGGATGGGGTGAGGGCCGATCGGCGGACGCGGCGCAAGCCTGTTGCTGACGAAAGAGGACGCCAGACATAAGGAGCCGAAATCTATACACCGACGCTTTTCTGGCCCCGCACTAAAACTCGAACAGGACAACGGATCCTGGTGTGTACAGAATCCTGGTGTACACATTTTTGTTGTTTCCCCAGGAAAGCGGGGAAACAAAGTATCCACCACACCACTCCGACGTCGACCCCGATCCTCCGAAAAGACCTAGGATTCAAAACAGCCCGCCACTGGTAATGTACACGTTCTAATTTCCGAAGGCATGTGCTCACTAACGACCCCAGGCAAAGGCCCATGACGTGGGCACGGCTGCACAACCTCGTGGCCAGCCGTGCCGTCCGCCGACACGAGCCGTTCCATCCGCGGCCCCCGATGCCCCGACACCTTCCGTCCCTGCTGGGATCCGCGCGGGGTTGGCCCAGGCATCAGTGGATGCGAAGGTGGGTTGTATCTGACCCAATCTGGAATATACAATGGTCACAGATGCCCCAAGTTGTGCACGGGGGCTTTACGATCCGGGCCCAGTGGGCTCCGCCCACCTACGCGTCGGTCGGAAGAAGTAGAGAGAACAAAGAAAAACGCAGGGAGGCTAATCAAGAAGGTTGCTTCCAGGCTCTCTCAGAGAATAGCTACACACAGCAAAAGCAAGTCGATTATTGAAGTATGAAGGCGCTAGAAAGGTAGATTGGCATCTGAGGGCCCAGAACACCTACTTTGAACGACCGACGTGCAGCTGAGTCATCTGATTCACCTGAGCCACTTGGGACATGTCCTGTGACCCGCTGATAAGCTAGGCTCCGCCAGAAATTGATTACCCGCCCTGGCACACACTGATGCTCCCCCTGATCCCCTGAGCAACCCCCGCGCCGCTCCCAGCAGAGGAGGTCCCGACCCTCGGGAGCGGCCAAGAGGGGGGTGTCCAAGAGGGGGGGGGGTGCGGCCCAGGGGGGGGGGGCCAGGGACGTAATGAAACAGGAAGAGGCGCCATGAAATCTGGGGAAATATCATGACCCACGCCATGATATCCACCCCCCCCCTAGGATATACACCCCCCTCCTTTCCGCCCCCGAGCCCCCTGCCCTGGCGGGAGCCTCCCGTCCGGGGCCCGACATCGGGCCTGCGCGGCGGCCGACAGCGAGGAACGCGTGCCCAATCTGCAGAATGCTCCGTCGGAGCTCCGGGAGCCACTTGGGACACGTCCTGTGATCCGCTGATAAGCTAGGCTCCGCCAGAAATCAATTACCCGCCTTGGCATCCAATGATACGTCCCCGCGGTAACCTCCCGTCCCGGGCCCGATGTCCGGCCTGCGCGGCGGCCGACAGCGAGGAACGCCTGCCGAGTTTGCAGAACGCTCCGTCGGAGACCCGGGAGCCAGGAGCTGGCCATCGCTCGGACGTCCATCCCCTGTGTCTTTTTCGGCTTCGTGCGTGGCTCTTTCGCCAAATGATCAAGGATGCTCCTCGAGGGTCCTCGCCGAGGGAAAACACGAGCACGTCCGAGCGATGCCAAGGCCAGGAGGAGGGCCGAGAGGAGGCTCCGCGGGCCTGCCCAGGGCCGGGGCGCGGGCGTGAGCGAGACCCGGGTCCTGGGCCGCGGGGCCACCGGAGGCCGAAGGCGACAGAACGGGTGGTAAGGGTGGTTCCGCCTCCTCCTCCTCCTCCTCCTCCTTTCGCCCCCCCCTCTTACCTCTTGCATGTCTGCGGAGGAAGGGCCCACCGAGGGCCTCCACGGGGAAGTCGGGTAAGTCGGACTCTGGTGGAACAATGTGAGTCACAGCAAATCGTCCAAGGATGCAAGGGCACCCTCGGGAAGGTTGCCCATCCTGTTCGTTGGTCGGCGCAGGTGATCAGACCCAGGTCCTGGGCCGAGGGGCCACAGGAGGCCGAAGGCGACAGAACGGTCAAGTCGGGCATGTCCTCTTGCAGGTGAACTTCGGTTATAAAAATGTTGCATGGTCCAAGAATACCCCACATAGTTAGTCAAAACGAATCGTCCCCAGACTAGGTTTCAAGCTTATGGGGTCGTCCTCCTCGAGAGGGCCATGCCCAACTTTCACCAAAAACGCCTCGGAGAGGACACGCGAGAGGACACACCAGACCCTGCTGAGGGCCACGCTGCCACAGAAATGCAGGAGGCATGGGTCGCAAGACACAGGACACGAGGGCGCCCTTGATCTGGCAGGGTCGACCTACTAATCTGGGCCGCCTGTACCCCTTTCTAGGTGAACAAGAAGTGGCATAAACATAAAAACTCGGAGGTCCGCGCGGATTTCTCGCATCGGCCCTGGACCCCCCTCCCTGGCGCGCGGAGCGCGCCAGGGGCGGCGCCCGAGGCGCCGCAGGGGGTCTTCGGCGCGGATCCGAGAAATCCGCGCGGACCTCCGAGTTGTTATGTTTGTGCCACTCTTTCTTCCCCTACTTTCGCTCGTGCCGATCCTCTGGCCGGGCCCCTCTCGGGCCCCGCAGGAGCGGTGCCTCTGCGCCCTCCGGGGCGCGCGCGCCTCGCACGCCGCCCGTCCCGTGGGCCCGCCGGGCTCGGCCCGCGCAGGGCCTCGGCGCGGGCGTGCACGGTCTGTCCGTGTCGTGAGGGTGCGCGGTAGGAGTGCGGGGGCCTCGGGTGGGCCTTGGATGCGGGCTCCACCTCCTTCTCCTCCTCCTCCGCCTCCTCCTCCTCCTCCTCCTCCTCCTCCTCCTCCTCCTCCTACTCCTCCTCCTCCTCCGCCTACTCCTACTCCTCCTCCTCCTCCTCCTCCTCCTCCTCCTCCTCCTCCTCCTCCTCCTCCTCCTCCTCCTCCTCCTCCTCCTCCTCCTCCTCCTCCTTCGGGGGGACGCACAGAGACATACTAATACTAAGTGTCTTCGTTGGAAACGCGCGTCCGAACCGAACATATGGCACACCCATCTTGTAGTACATCGGTTGCCGAGCGGTGTGGCCAGAAAGCGCCGGCCACGACGCATATACTATCAGATTGTTCGGTGCGGGCATCGCCCCTGGGGGGGCGACGGACATATAGAATAAGTAGGTTGGGGTGGCGCCGATTGGAGGGCCATGTTGCAGTGGAGGTCCGACCACAAGAAACCCTCCACAAGAAACCCAACCCTGAGACCCCAGGACGTCCACGGATGTCTGGTGTGGGAGCGTCACGCTTTCCATCGCCAAACCATGGGAACCCAAGAAGAAACCCAGGGCACCCTGGAGACAAGCAGGGTGTTTCTTGGCATGGGCCCCAACAGTAAGGATGCAAGGGCCTTGGAGGGCCATGTTAATGTTTTCTCGAGCGAGGTTGGCCAGCGAAAGTTACCAAGGATGGGCCGGAGGGACAAGGATGCAGGGGTACCCTTAGGAAGGTTGCCCATCCTGTTTATCAGGTCGGGCATGACCCCCTACAGGCGGATGTTGGGCGAAACTTTAAAAACATACTCAACAAATACCCCAACATATTCGAAAAAATACTCAAACATCGTCCCCAGACCATTGTTTAAACTATTTGTGAATATTCCTCCTGTAGAGGGACATGCCCGATTTAACCTCCTTACGCGGGTTGACTGTATAGCTGGTGCCCTCCGACCTCGGGGATCTTCTGACCCGGGTCAATCCAGACCCGGGTCAGCCTAGCCTTGCAGAATCCTGCAAAATCCTGCCAGACCCTGCACCCAAACCCGGGCCAGTGCGAAGGATCCTGCAAGATCCTGCAGGATCCTGCACCCAAGCCCGGGTCAGTGGGAGCCTGGCCCTGCAGGATCTTGCAAGATCTGGCGCTCCTGACCCCCGTTTGCATTGACCCCCGTCTCAAGGCTCCCGACGACCTCTCGGGTCGGGCGAAAGGGGGGGATAGCAAAGGAGGGGTATGATAATCAGCTCACGTAGCTGATTTTCCCGGCGCCTCCCGGCGCCGGAGGCGGCTATGTATCGAGGAATGGGCCCCTCGGTGAGGCCGAAACCAGCTGCATGCAGCAAATTTCGTACCCCCCCTTCCCCAATCCCCCCCTTTCGCCCGACCCGAACCTCTCTCCCTGGAGCCCCCGTGCTCGGGTGCCGCCAGAAGTGCTCCCGGCCCACAGTGCTCCCCCAGGCCTCCCGAGGAGGCCCCCAAGGCGGCCGGAGCGCCCCTCGCGAGGGCCCCGGGGGGGCCCGAGGGGCTCCAGACGGGAGCGGGAAGCTGGGGGCACCTTTTGGCGGCGCGCACGAGGGGGGTTGGAGGGAGGGGGGGGGCTTCTTAGAAGGAGGCTGCTTCTTGGACGGCGCCGGCCTTGCCTCTATAGAGAAGGCCCGCGCCTTCTGAGAAGCAGGGGTGCTTCTGAGAAGCCCTCCCCCCTCCCCCCCCCCCCCTCTGCGCGTGGCTGAACCTTGGGCCAGGGGGACCTGCAGCAACACCCGACCTGCCCTGCCTGGCGAGGGAGGCATCGACAGAGGGCTCCTGGATGGGGTCCGAGCAGATGGGGTCGGAGGATCTCGCCGCATCGCCGATGCATCGGCGACGCATCGCCCACGCATCGGCGATGCATCGGCCATGCACTGGCGAGGTCGGCGATGCATCGGGGGCGTCGGTGTGGGGAAAAGTGGGCCCCACATCGAGCCGCATCGCCGATGCATCGCCGATGCGGCGCGATCCTCCGACTCCATCTACTCCGACCCCATCCAGGAGGCCTAGAATCAAGGGGCCCCCCGGATGATCTCCCCGCGGGCCTTCGGAGACATCCGAGGAGGACCGAACCAGCACGTCCAACCCTTGTCGGGCCGGGCGAAGGGGGGGGATCGCAAAGGGGGGGGTGAAAATCGCCTCACGCAGCTGATTTTCCCGGCGCCTCGTGGCGCCAGAGGCGGCTCTGTATCGCGGACTGGGCCCCTCGGTGGGGCCGAAACCAGCTGCATGCAGCAGATTTCGTAACCCCCGGTGGCTGGCGTCACTCGGGTGCTGCTCACATTCCTACACTTCCTCACGGCCACTGTCGGCCTGAGAGACAGAGCGGGCGCCGGGGAAGCCACCACCGCCGGCAGCCTCCGCTCAGCTTCCGTGGAAGAAGGTCCGCGTGTACTGGCGGGGGGTGGGCGCAGGAGGGCAGGAGCAAGAGCAGATGCCACCGCCACCACGGTCAGAGGGCAGAGGGAGGGTCCTCCATAACCACCCAGACGACACCACCACCACGGCTCACTGATGGTGTCATGCCGCTGCTTCCTGGCGTCCCGCTGGGCGCATCTCCGATCTCCAGCTCGGGGAGGCATCGTGGACCTACCGGCCCTGGAGGTGCTGGTGCCGCTCTTGCGAGCCAGGGACTTCTATCCATAACCCACCACCTGCCGAGGTCCCCGAAGATCGATCCCCCAGGCGGCGGGTGCAGCAAGGGCCCGACCACAAGAAGAAACCCTCCACAAGAGACCCGACGCTGAGACCCCAGGACATCCATTGATTCCTGGTGTGGAAACGTGACGCTTTCCGCCGCAAAACCATAGAACCCCAAGAAACCCTGGAGGCAAGCAAGGCGTTTCTTGGCATGGGTCTCCACTATGGTGATGAATTCCCACCCAGGATCGGGCCGGGCGAAAGGCGGGGATAGCAAAGGGGGGGGTTGAGAATCGCCTCACGTAGCTGACTTCCCCAGCGCCTCCCGGCGCCTGAGGAGGCCATGTGTCGAGGAATGGGCCCCTCGGTGGGGCTGAAACCAGCTGCACGCAGCAAATCTCGTACCCCCCCCTTTCCCTATCCCCCCCCTTTCGTCCGGCCCGACCGGAGCGCCCCCCTCCCGCAGGAGTGAGGCGAGGAGGCCCGCCGCAGGAGCTGCCGCCGCTCCGTGGCCCCCCCACGCCTCTGGAAACCTCCGGGGGGCGCCGTGGCCCTCGGGGGGCCTCCTGGGGCCCCTGGGGGCGGCCCAGGGCACCGCGGGCGGACTTCTGGGGGACCCGAAAGGGGGTCCGGCCGAAAAAGGGGTGGAACAAGAGAGATTTGGGGCAATTGTACTGCAAGTGTGTTGCGCCGGAGACCTGGATTGCACTGTATCGCAACTGATGTACTGCACGCGCGAAATTCCAACAAGACATTTGCGCCCAGGAGCGTATTGCACGCCCCAAATCGATTGCGACCCACAAACCTCATGCACAGTGCACCACCCTCTTGTAGCTGGACGCCTCTTGGGTCCACCAGATGACTTGAGAAGATGTGGCTCTCTGGGGCGCCCCGGCCATGGCAGTGGCACAGTTCCCAGGCCTCCGACAGGAGCTGGTCCACCTGCGCGCGTCAAGATCTGGCAGCCAGTGGCGATCTCGGCAAGGATACATCCCGCAGTCCAGATGTCCACCGGCAGGTCGTAAGTGGGATGCCCCAGCAGCAACTCTGTGACCTGGAAAACGTCCGCAGAAGCGGGGATCTGATTTATCGACCTGGTCCGACTTCGACACAACCCGAGGTCACCACTTGTCATCCGACACAACGCTAAACTCCAACGCTGAATTGCGCGCGTGAGTTCCCATTCTTCACGCGACCAGACCTCGTAATGGTGCGCCGCGATGCACTGCCTCATCCGCGCAGAAAACTTCAACACCACTTGCGCGCGCCCGATTTGCGCCCTATGTTGCATCCGATGTTGCGTCCGATGTGGGTCCGATGTTGCGCCCTATTGTTTGTCCGATTCTAAATATGATGTGCGTCTGATTTCGTTCGATACTGAATCGAGACGACAAAAAACGAAATCAGTCGCGAGATCGAAGGCGAAATCGGTCGCGCTCTTCTGAACTCGCGTGTGGGCGGTTCTCCGGGTAGTCTTGATGGCGCTCTCCTGGGCGCCGTTCTCGGCGCTCCTGTGGGCTCGCCTGGGCGATCGTCCCAGCGCGCCCCCAAGCGCTCCTTTTGGCGCTGTTCTGGTCGCCCCCAGCGCACCCCTCCACACCAAGAGCGCGCCAATTTTACCGCGTGAAAGCGTGGGCCCCGAAGCGATCAGAAGCACATCTGCTCTGCCGCCGCGGCGAGGTGAAACTCTGGGCCACGATACTACAGAGTGACGACCTCTGGGGTGCGGATCTTGACCGCGGGCGAGGAGATGCGGGCCAGGTCGAGGTCGCAGATCTTGAGGCGGTCCACGGGATGGATGAGGAGGCTCTGCGGTTTGAGGTCACGAGGGATCACCATGCGCGCGTGACGCGCGTGGGTTCCATTGAAGATCTTGTGAGTACCGCACGATATTTTCCATACGCAGCTGGGTGCCCTCCTTCTGGTGGCGCCCCAAAATGCGGTGCAAGTCGTCTGACATGCACTCGAAGATCAGCTCGAACCCGTTCGGGCCAACGATCTGCACTATCTTGAACCGCACGACCTTCGGGCGGACAAGAGGTCGCGCAGCAGCGACACCTCGCGGATGACGTTCGCGGGCACGCCGTCCTGGCCATCGTTGAGCATCAGACGCTTGAGCGCCACCCTGCCGTCGGTCTCGCGGTCCCTCGCCAGAAAGACCGCCCCGAAGACCCCAGACCCGTCGGGTTTTTTCCAGCACGCGCGTCTGGGGAAACGCAGCGTGGCGGGCACCTCCTCCTCCGCCGAATCTCCCTCGGGACCAGTTCCCCCCATGCCGGAAGGAGCCGCCTCTCGGGCGTTGGTAGAACTGGGTTTAGTGGAGCCTGGTTTAGTGATCTGTACCGGGGGCGCCCCCCCGTCCCATTTCCACTAACCGGAACTGCCGTCACACGAAAAAACACCAGCTATGGCAGACCTGGTTTGGTGATTCTGGCCAAGTCGAGGGCTCCGGGGCCCTACCACTGACCGGGTCCCCTGACCCGGGGTCCTGGCCATACCCGATCCTCGTCGCCTCGACTGGGCGCAGCTCGAGAGAGACTGGGAAGGGGGTCCGGGAACTGGTCTGGAGCGGACCTTCGCCCGTTCAGCTGCCCGAGGAGCCCTCTGCCCCCCCGCGCGCGCAGGGCCCGCGCAGGGCCGCAGCACAGCGGACGAGACGCCCGGACCCCCTCAACTCGTGAACGACAGCAGGACGGCGAGCGCTTCGCCGTCGTCGGCAAGACGAGGCCAGGACGAGGACAACATCGCTCGAGGGCAAATCGGGGATCTCTGAGATCCGGCGGCTCTGGAGGATGCCTCGGGCGCCGCGGCCTCCTCGGAGCGTGCCAGAAAGCCTTCAGAGGCTTCCGGAACGCCCTGGAACGGGTTTCTTCTCGTCCTGGCCCCCATCCGAAGAGAACGAGTTGTTCTCTCGTTTCGGCCTCTGGGGGGCCCCACACGGCCCCGGGGCGGCTAAGGAGAACGACTCGGGATGAAACACCGGTCCAGGCGGATGGGTCGAGACTTCTGGGGGTCGACGTTCTGAAAAGACGTGACGTCGGGGGGCTGGACAAGCCGCTTGAGGAGGAGGAGGAGCACCGGGTCGACGGGCAGCGGTCGGCAACGGCGACGACCCCCGAGGTCCCCCGAGGCCCCAGGAGGTGCCCGCGAGTGATGAAGGGGCCCAGGAACATAAGAAAAACCGCACAAATCCCAGGAGTCCGCAAATTTGTCCATATTGTTGGTTTCGTCTTCCCCCCACTTCCCATATGTTTCCCATCTTTTCTGGGGAATCGACGATTAACTGTGTCTGTGTTTTGGTTCCCTCTTGAAGTGAGGGGGAACGCGAGGGGGGGACTGGGAAGTGAGGGGGAACGGGAGGGGGGGGACTGGCTTAGGGAGGCTCATCGCGCTGGAGTCGGCGTTACATCCCCGATAGATCGGAGACAGGCCCCATTGGCGATGGCTGGGCGATTGGCGTTCGATGCATCCCAACCCTCCTGATCCAGTCCTCCCTTACACTTGCCCCTAATCTGGAGGTCCCTGGGAGGTGCCCGTGGGGTCCCCCTATCCAGGTGCCCCCCGATGTTCTGAGAAGGCCCCCGAGAAACACTTCGAGCCCTACGAACACTGAAGAACCTCGATCCTACATCCGAAGCGATTCAGCAAACGCGTCTGATGGAAGAATCGAGCGGGACAAAACTGCTTGGTTAACGTGCAGGAGCGTTCCGTCAACGCAACTTCTGGGGGTCGTGTCTCCCAGGGCGCGTTATGAACAGGATTTCGAGGCGAATCCAGCCGTGGCGATGAGAGATGGGTAGCTGTATCGGTTCCTATTCCTCCTCTGAGGTCGGCACGGATTTTCCTCTCTTGACTCGACGACCCTCGAACGGCGAACGACCATCGACGAACGACGATCGGCGATGAGGGGCAAAAGTGGGGGGAGACCGGCTGAGGGGGGGAACATCGACAAAAAAGGTCGATACATCGCCGACATGCCGACGATAGGCACCCAATAGCGAATCGGCACGTTCCTGGGCGGGGTGAGGCTATCCAAACCCCATCGACGATCCATGGTCAGTGGGAAATTTGTGGTCGATGCATTCCCCCTGAGCCCATCCCCCCTACTGGTAGAGGGATAAACAACTGGATAAACATGCCTCGTGGAGTTCTTGGATCCGCGCCAGACCCACCTCCCTGGCGCGCGGAGCGCGCCAGGGGCGGCACCAGAGGAGCCGCCAGGAGGTTCCAGACCAGATCCAAGAAATCCGCGCGGAGCTCCAAAAGTGCATGTTTATGCAGATGTTTCTTCTTCGGTGCCCCTGGGGCGACGACAACTCGGGGACGCACTCACCAGGGTCAGTGCAAACCCAGGTCAGTCAGCTCTTGCAGGATCCTGCAGGATCCCGCAGGATCCTGCGCGCCAGCCCGGGTTCATGCGACCCTGGCTCTGCAGGATCCTGCCAGAGCCGGCGCTCTGGCGGACTCCCCTTTGCATGGACCCCCGTCTCTGCCAGTGAGAGGCAACGATACGGGGGTGATAGGTATAATCGGGAGCGGCTAAGAGGGGGGTGTCCAAGAGGGGGGGAGGGACGTAATGAAATAAGAAGAGGCGCCATGAAATCTGGGGAAATATCATGGCCCCCGCCATGCTATCTACACACCCCTAGCCATCACCCCCCTCTTTTCCGCCCCCGATATAATTGGAGGGGGATGCGTCGACCTGGAAGCGGCCATACACCGTCGACAGATCGGCGCCCGGACCCCCGTATAGCGAAACCGCACCTTCCTGGGCGGGCTGGGGCTATCGGGCCCCCGTCGGCGGCCACTGGGCGCTTGGGATTCGATGCATCCCCCCCCCATGCCTACAGTCATCGGCCTGACCTAAGGAACAATAAATAAGGAACGAAGCCCCTTTTTATCCCAAGGAATAACGCATAAGGAACGATACATAATAAATAACGCACAAGGAACTGTGAATAACGCATGCAAGCCTAAGGAACGACCGAGCCCCTTTTGAAAAGTAAGTGTTCCTTATTCAAGCCGCTCACTGTATACCCGTCCCCAGTGGTTTTCTGATCATAACTCGGGCCTCCGGCGGCCGTTCGGGACCACCTGGGCAACCTGGGCACACTCTCGGCGAGGCGCAGCTGCTTGGGAGGACCCCGAGGCTGGAAAAAAATCGCCGAGGTCCGACTGAAGCGCGAAGGCCGCTCGAAGCGGCCCGAACAGCGCCGACGGCCCGCGAGCCAGGAGAAGGCAGAGAGCTGGCCGCGTCTTCGCTCCTGGTCGTCCAGGTGCCGCCCGCTCCGCGCCGCGCCCCGGGTGGAGCGCAGGTCCTCTGGGACGGCGGCGCCGCCGGCGCCGTCTGCCGTCTGCCGTCGGCCGTCGAACGGCGCAGTGCGCCGCCAGACCGTCGGCCGTCGTCGACGACGACGTCGACGCCTAAAGCCGAGTAGGGGACCGACTACAGAATGGACTTACCACACAATTGACTGGTCCGTCGGAGCTGCAGAAAAAATGCGTATGAGGTTCGTAGCCCTACAAACATTATACGTGCTCTTGTGGTTCGTAGCCCTACAAACATTATACGTGCTCTTGTGCACACTCGGCGGGAAAAACACGTTCGGGATGAGTCCATGCTCGACCCCCTATTCGACAAGCGTCGTGCCAGAGGCTGCGGCGGCGAAGACGACAAGGACGTCGACCGCCGACGTGCTCGGCGTCGCCCTCCGCCGTCGGCGACGGCGATTCTCGTGTGAGGGGTCTGTAGTATGAGAGGGGCCCTGGGAGACACGAGTGTAAATAGGCACAGGATCCCGCATTCCCAAACACGTTTCGACACATACATTTTCTGAATATTCGTCTCCCCCTCCATATTCTTTCGCTTTCACGCCCGTCCCTGGAAATCGACGCGTACTCGTGTCTGCGCCTATTTACAGAGGGCGCCTAACCTCGCGCGTCACGCTGCGCGAGGCGCGAATCACTTCGCGCTCTCGCGCCGCCCCCCAAGGGGAGAGGAGGAGGAGGAGGAGGAGGAGGAGGAGGAGGAGGAGGAGGAGGAGGAGGAGGAGGAGGAGGGGGAGACATCGGAGCCGACCCTAGAAGAATAAAAAACTGCATAAACATTACCTTTTGGCGTTCCGCGCGGAGTTCTTCGATTTGCGCTGGACCCCCCTCCCTGGCGCGCGGAGCGCGACAGGGTCGGCGCCGGAGGCGCCGCCAGGGGAGCCCAGCTGCGGATGCAAGAAATCCGCGCGAAGCGCCAAAAGTCTATGTTTAAGTCGGGCCAGTCCTCCTACAGGGGAATTCTGGACGAAACATGGAAAAATCAGAAAATACCCCGAAAAAGGTATGAGAAAAACTCAAAAGATCGTCGCTGGACTATGTTTTTTTTACGAATTCTGACATTCCCCCTGCAGTGGGACAGGCCCGACCTGTAAGTCCCTGTTTATAGCGTTTTTGTTTCTTCTGCCGCAGCGGGCGCCGCTGCCGACGACGACGTCGCCGGAGGTCCCCGGGAGCCCCGCACGCGGAGGCCTTGGGACGGCACACGAGGCGGCAGCGAGCCCGGGGGGGACGAGGGGGCGGGACCTTCGCAGAAGGCCAGGAGGGCCACGGGCCTGCCGAGGAGTGAGGAGGAGGAGGAGGAGGAGGAGGAGGAGGAGGAGGAGGAGGAGGAGGAGGAGGAGGAGGAGGAGGAGGAGAGGAGGAGGAGGAGGAGGAGGAGGAGGAGGAGGAGGGGAGGAGGAGGAGGGAGGGGGAGGGGGAGGGGGAGGAGGAGGAGGAGGAGGAGGAGGGGGAGGGGAGGAGGGGAGGAGGAGGAGGAGGAGGGGAGGAGGAGGAGGAGGAGGAGGAGGAGGAGGAGGAGGAGGAGGAGGAGGAGGAGGAGGAGGAGTAGGAGGAGGAGGAGGAGGAGGAGGAGGAGGAGGAGTAGGAGGAGGAGGACTTCTGAGCCTTCCCCCGGAGGCACGGAGTGCTTCTCAAAGGCGCGGGGGGCTCCTCAGGAGCCCCCGGCCGCCTCCTGACACAAGGCCCTCGCGCCCTCGCACGTCCCCCCCCTTGGCGCACTGCCGAAAAAGACACAAGATGCCCGGATCCTCGAAGCTCGAGGCTCCGTGAGGACGACGGCGGCGGCGGCGAAGAAGAAGACGACGCACGACGACAGACCCTGAGATCCGACGCAGCGAAAAAATACACTTATCCCGGCAACGCAACCTAACAGCGATATGCAGAAGCATATCTGAAAGCATTCCCCTTAAGATTCAGATGAAAATCCAGTTGTAGAATTCTGCTGTTCTCGCAGTCGTAGTCGCATCCGCGATGACAGTCGCAGCGGCAACGGCAGTCGCAGTCACAGCCTCAGCCTCAGCCTGCCTCAGCCTCAGCCTCAGCCTGCCTCAGCCTCAGCCTGCCTCAGCCTCAGCCTCAGCCTGCTTCAGCCTCAGCCTCAGTCTGCCTTCAGCCTCGGCCTCAGCCTCAGCCTGCCTCAGCCTCAGCCTGCCTCAGCCTCAGCCTCAGCCTGCCTCAGCATCAGCCTGCTTCAGCCTCAGCCTCAGCCTGCCTCAGCCTCAGCCTCAGTCTGCTTCAGCCTCAGCCTCAGTCTGCCTTCAGCCTCGGCCTCAGCCTCAGCCTGCCTCAGCCTCAGCCTGCCTCGGCCGCAGCATCAGCCTGCCTCAGCATTCAAAATGTGGCCCAGGAATGGAGTTCTGGGAACTAGAAGAACACGAAGTGGCCTACAGTTGGCTCCGGGCATTCAAAATCATGCCCAGGAATGGAGTTCTGGGAACTTGAAGAGCACGAAGTGGCCTACAGTTGGCTCCGGGCATCCAAAATGTGGCCCGGGAATGGAGTTCTGGGAAATCGAAGAGCACGAAGTGGCCTACAGTTGGCTCCGGGCATCCAAAATGTGGCCCGGGAATGGAGTTCTGGGAAGTCGAAGAGCACGAAGTGGCCTACAGTTGGCTCCGGGCATCCAAAATGTGGCCCGGGAATGGAGTTCTGGGAGCACCAAGAGCGATTTTGCGAGGATGTCCAAAGCGATTTCGGCTTCGGCGGCAGCCGTTCCGGGTCCCGCCCCGACCCCCCTGTGAAGATACCTGCTGCTCTCTTTTGAGACCACTAGAAACCTATCAGCAAGAGCTGTTAGGTAACATCGTACAAAACCACGCCCGGAGATCTAGACCCCATCTGTCTGCGCCACGTCTCGAGCTGGATCGATCTGTGAGGGTCCCGCGGCACGAAAACAGACGAGAACACCCGGCATTATGACGCCAGGATAGGGCATTGGCAGAACTGTGGTTAGTGGGACCTGGTTTAGTGATGAGTACTGGGGGACGCCCCCCCCCCCCCCCGCCCCGTTCCACTAACCAGACCTGTCGTCACCCTAAGAAACACCAGCTACGGCAGACCTGGTTCAGTCACTCTGGCAGATTGAGGGGCTCCGGGGCCCTACTGCTAAGCGGGTCCCCTTAGCTGGGGTCCTGGCCGTACCCGACATGATCTCAGGGGACGACGCCGACGACGCAGACAGCGGCCCCACGGACACGTTTCGAGCGGCTGTGGGTCGTCGTCTGCGGCGGGGCCCGAGGCGGGCGTGCGCCGTCGGGCGGGCCCCCCCCCGTTGACGTCTTGGCCCTCGCTGGCAGCGGCGCGGCCCAAGACGTCAACGGATCGCTCGAGGACCCAGGCATCGAATGAGACGAAGCCAGGACGAGGATAACATCGGGTGCAGATAAATCGAGAATCTATGAGATCTTGAGGCTCTGGCGGATGTCTCGGGCGCCGCGGCCTTCTCAGAGCATTCCGGCACGCTCTGAGAGCGTCCCTGAACGCTCTGGAACGCATTCATCGTCGTCCTACAAGCCTCTCCAAAAATAAATTGAAATACTGTAAAAAAACCGAAGCGCTCGATAGTTCGGGCACTTGTCAGAGAACGCGTTCTTCAATGCTGTGAGGGTACTGCCGGATCTCGGACACCCCTGCGTCTGGGCCGAATACCTCATGCCAGCATCGAAGGAGCGCCCACTACGCGAGCACCGAAAACCAAAACCGTCCAATCATCTTTGACGATCTTGGTTCCTCTGGGCCCCTGCGGGCGCCCGTGGCGCGGCGGCGGCCAGATCCGCCTCGCGATCCTGACCGGAGCGCGCGCCAGGTCCGGTCGCGGTCGAGAGGTCGGGCCAGCTCGCCGACAGTGGCGGCGGCGGTGGCGCGCGGTGGCCGCGCGGCGGCGGCAGTGGCGGGCAGCGGCGGCGCAGGCGGCGAGGACCTCCGCCGCGGCGGCGGCGCGCGGGCGCACGAGGCGCACCCTTCGCACGACTGCCCAGTCGAGCAGACCGTCGTCGTCGGCGGCGGCGGAGGCGTCGCCGTCTCCGCCGGCGGCGGCGGCGCTGACGCCGTCGTCGCCGACGACGGGCACCGCGGGCCTCCAATACAACAACTGACAAGCTCAAACCTGTGACCCCGCATGATGTGATACAGCCTCTTTGCCAGCGGCACTTAAGTGTAATGATCTGTCTGATGTGAAATAGCTTATTTGCCAGCAGTACAGTGCGGGCGCGGCCGCAAGAATCCCTCCCAAGAAACCCACCCCTGAAAGCCCGCGCGCGAAGTGAACCTGAGGGGAAACCCGGAGCACCCTGAACGCAGCAACTCCTTCCACGGCTGCGGGAAGTCACCGCGCAGCGCGAGGAGCGAGGAAACCCAGGATACCCTGACGAGAAGCACATGGTTTCTGGCTGCGCGCCCCCACTGTGAGTGTAAACCTGTATCACATCGTACAGATCACTGGATTGAGACCGTCACTTGTTGTATCGTGGGCCCTCCCAAGGGGCGCCTGCGAGGCGCCCCTGGGGGCCCCTGGGGGGGAGGGGGTGGCGGGGCCGGCGCCCGCGGGCGGTGGAGCTCCTGCGGGTCCTCCTCGGGGGTTCGGGGAGGGCGCGAGGGTCCATGATGCGAGGTTCACGCCGCGTCGCCGATGCATCGGTGATGCATCGGCGACACGATGCATCGGCAACGTTAGCGATGCATTGGCAACGTCGGCGCGAAGCAGATCTCCCCATCTAGCCGCATCGGCGATGCATCGGCGATGCGGCGCGACCCTCCGACCCCATCTGCTCCGGCCCCATCTAGGAGCCCTAGAGTCTTCGGATCTTAGAGGCTTAGGTTTAGGTCGGGCATGTCCTCCTACAGGCGGATCTTGAAGGAAAACTTGCAAGAAGTCAGAAAATCTTCAAAAAGTCCGACAGTGGCGACAGTTTCGCAGATCGCAGTCCCCCAGGGAACGGCGAGGTCACGAGGCAGAAAGGAGGAAGATAACGAGGAGGAGGAGAATGGA